TATTAAATAAAATACAGTAAAGCCACAGTTTTATTTAAGTCCGTGTTTTACAAGCGTGCCTTGGAGGGGATGAACAAAGGAGGGCCTGCTTTCAGCTCCCCTCCCATCACACCTGTCCGCAGGTAAGGACCGTCCATCCGGCCTCCTTTCCGCCCTTGGCAGAATCAATACTGGATGGACCGTCTTGAAGATGTCCAGATTCTGGGTCGTATAAAGCTTGATAGGTTGATCTTGTATTGTATCTTCTGGAAGTGTGCATCTCTCCTCTTAACCCCTCTGAGCTTGCTGTGTTGAAAGGGGCTACATTTAACCGTCTCCCTCCCAATTTTTCATTTTACAGGAATTCCCTTTGAAGGTGGCTTGCGTTGCCTCTGCTGGAAGGTAGGTCCTCCTTACGAAGTCGAATCACTTCAGCTCCTCATTTTACTGTGTTCCCCTTTGTATTTTGTCCTAAAAATTGTTTTATTATATTGTTATAAGACATACGTCATCCACGAGATTATTTCGATACGGTGGTATTTATACGCTGTTGACTAGAGATGATTAACACTCTAATGTTTAGATAACTCAGACCAGCGGTTCTCAAAGTGCGGTCTGGGGGTCCACGAAGTTAAATAAATCAACATTTTTAAATTTCTCAGCCTTAATTTCAAATACAGTCAGTATCGATAGATAGAATCCACATAAGCCAAAGCTGTTTAGGGTCCTCGATCTTTTTTAAGAATGTCGGGGGTCCTGAGACCAAAATGTTTGAGAACCGCTTAGATCATTAAAGATAGAAAAACAGGAAAGAGAAGGTTAGGGTTAGAGTTAGTAACATAGTTTATATATTATAGTATATCATATTTATTATAGTTATATGGTTATATGGATAGATCAGTATTAACGATGATTTGAAATGTCAGTGTTAATAAGCATAAGATTATTCAGATTTTACATGCAAAGCTGGATATAACATGAATAAACAACTGCAAATTATATCCAAATATTTGATGTACAATACAGTCAAGGCTTCTGTCTTAAGCTGGATATTTAAGACAGTCCCCCACTGTATTGTTACTTATGATTCTTGCGCACGTTGAGAAAAAAATAAAATAGAAAAGCAAAGTAGGAACAACCACTATGAATAAAACAGAAGGTTGGCCTGAATCTTAAGGATCTTATCAGGTGGTTTTTGACCAGGTCTGCTGGAAGGGCAGCCTGGCCCACCTGGAAAATAATTCTGGGTTCTTTGGGGTCAACCTCTCTCCAGCCTCTTCTTCTCCAGATGTTCTAGACTGGATGAGGCCAATTGTACCGAATGAAGGAGGGTTAATGATTCTGGGTTGGGAAAGGCTGGTTAGCAAATTGAGGGGCTCCAAATCCATTTTCCCCCCAATGCAAACTCTTTTCTCTGTTTACCTTTGGCAGATCCTCTTGAACTACCTTCCCCTGGAAAGATCTGCTTGGAATTCCCAACTGAAAAAGCAAAGGTACGTTGAACCATCTGACGTCCCTCTGCCTTTCCTTCTCGGCCTAGAGAATACGGACCGCTCCTTCTCGTTGCTCAGAAGCCAACTGCGAAACAGCAGACAGAGCTACCGTTTTAGATCTCTAGTGATTTTTGCTAAACATAATGTTCTATCGCTTTTCCACCTTTCGACCAAAGGTTTGGTCAACTCGTAACCTCACCCGATTAACTTGAAAGCTTGCATGTTCGTTTGGATCATTTTGGTGAGTCCTAACAAAGGCAAGCGAAGGAGAAGATCTATTTATGTGGTTGCTAAGAGTTGACACTGACTTGATGGCACATAATTAATCAGTGAAGGCATTTCCTTCCTGTAGAGTTTAGATTTGTTTTCCCCATAGACTGACTAAACTGCAGGGCTGATGAATCAACAGAGACAGCGGTAACACTTCCTGTACAATTTTTAAAACTACAGGATAAGTTGGAAAAATTATGTATAGGTAACCCAGCAGAGAAAATGTACAAGTATATTTGAATTTCGTTGGAGATCTATTTAAAGAGGTTGGGAGTGAGGAAAACATTCAGTCAGCTGGACACTGTTGCTGCAAATTTCTTTCCCCTGATTTGGGCATCTTGTGTGCAAAGCCAAGTGGGTACACTGGATATTTGTGGGTCTATGAATGTGGTGTGAGGACAGCCTTTTTGGCGGCTAAGGAGAGTGCATAAAAAATTTAAAGTTGGGGTTGTGTTCCTAAGTATTCTGCCTGGCCAGATTAACAGATGTTGCTTTTAATAGTCAGCAATTGCCTTTTGCAATAGAAATCCATTTAAAGCGGTAAGAGTGTACTACTTTAAAAGCACAGATCAAATAGCAGATGGGCCGTGCTTCTTAATAATGCATGGAATCCTATAACTGTCAGTCTTCGGGGAATGGCATTCTTTGCATTCTCCCAGGCAAATCTGTTCAAGGCAACGGGACTTCATTGCTTTTGCCAAAAAGGAAAGAAAGATGTTCTATCTCGGAAAACCATGAAGAGGGTAAATAAGAAGGAACATGAGGGAAGGGATATGTGCAACTCAAATAATTTCAGATTTGATAAGTCCAAAACCGTAGTTTTGATTTTGCCCTAAAGCTCAGGGTTTAGCTTCATGCAGCTTCTGAAATCTGGATGTGATAAAACACATCCCGTGTTATGTTGAGATATTCTGGCTCAGTGGGATGGGCTGGTTCACACAATGTGCTAAGACAGAGTCCTCAAAGACAGAACTTTCCATTTTCACCTACTGTAGCATGTTGTGTGAATCTCATCAATGCCTGCCTGCCTCCTTCCTTCCTTCCTTCCTTCCTTCCTTCCTTCCTTCCTTCCTTCCTTCCTTCCTTCCTTCCTTCCTTCCTT